CGGCTTATCAATTATTGCTTTCATAGGCTATGACTTTGGTGTTGTATCTAAAAAGTCGTCATCATATCCATGGTCATTAAGGTTTGCCTCTATGAAATCTAGAAATTTTTTAGTTTTGTGTTCACATTTAGGTCTTTGATATGTTTTGAGTTAATTTTTGTGAGGGATGTAAAGTCTGTGTTTGGATTCATTTTTTTGCATGTGAATGTCCAGTTGTTCTAGCACCATTAGTTGAAAAGACTGTCTTAGCTCCATTATATTATTTTTGCTCTTTTGTCCAAGTTCAGGTGACTACATTTATGTGAGTCTATTTCTGATCTTTCTTCTCTATTACACTGATTTATTTTTCTATTCTTTCATTGATACTACACTGTCTTAGAGATTACTGTAGCTTTATAGCAAGTCTTGATGTTGGGTAGTATCAGTCCTCCAATTTTATCTTCTCCCAAATTAAGTTGGCTATTCTGTACTTTTTGCTTCTCTCCTTAGAATTAGTTTATTGGTATTCATAAATAACCTGCCTAGATTTTGATTGGGATTTCATCAAATCTATAGCTCAAGTCCGGAAAGAACTAACATGTTGACAATATTGTGTCTTCCTAATTATGAACATAGAATGTCTCTCTAAAAACTAGTTCTTCTTTGATTTTGTTCATCAGAGTTTTGTACTTTTCCTCATATACATAATATAGTATGTATTTTATTAGATTTATACATAAGTATTCAATTTTGGGGGGTTCTAATGTAAATCATATTTTATTTTTAATTTCAAATTACACTTCTTTATTTCTGGTACATGGGAAAACAATTGACTTTTGCATGTTAACCTGTATCCTCCAACCTTGCCATGATTATTTATTAGTTCAAGGAATTGGGGTTTTTTTACTTCTTTCAGATTTTCTACAGAACAATCATGTCATCTCTGAACAAAGGAATTGTTTTGTTTTAGTTTTTTTCAGATTTTCTATAGAACAATCATGTCATCTCTGAACATCTCTCCTTTCCAATATTTATGCCTATGATTTCCTTTTCTTGCATTATTGCATTACACAGAATTTTAATTTGATAATGAAAAGTAGTGGTGAGAAGGGAAAGCTCATTCTAGTGGGAAAGCCTCCAGTTTCTCACCATTAAGTATTATATTAACTGTAGGGTATTTTTGTAAATGGTCTTTATCAAGTTGGGGAAGTTCCCCCTCTATTCCTAGATTACTGGGAGTTTGTGTCACGAGTGTTAGGTTTTTGTCAAGTGTTTAATTCATAGGATCATGAATCATGTGATTTTTCCTTTTTAGCCTGTTGATGTAATAGATTACATTAATTGATTTTCAAATGCTCAACCAGTCTTGCAGATATGAGATAAATCCCACTTTGTCATGGTATATAACTCTTTTTATGTATTGTTGGATTCAATTTGCTAATATTTTGTTGAGGATTTTTATATCTATGTTCATGAAAGATACTGGTCTGTGGTTTCCTTTTCTTATATCTTTGTCTGGTTTTGGTATTAGGGTAATGCTTGCCTCATAGATTGAGTTAGGAAGTATCCCATCTGCTTCTCTCCTCTGAAAAAGATTGTAGAGGATTGGTATAATTTCTTCCTTAAATGTTTGGTAGAAATCACCAGTGAACCCATCTGGGCCTGGTGCTTTCTGTTTTGGGATAGTACTAATTATTCATTCAATTTCTTTAATAGCTACAGCTCTATTCATATTGTCTATTTCTTCTCATTTGAGTTTTGGAAGATTGTGTTATTCAAAGAATTGGTCCATTTCATCTAGTTTATCAAATTTTGGGTCACTGAGTTATTCATAGTATTCCTTTATTATCCTTTTGATTTCTGTAAGATCTGTAGTGATGTCCTCTTTTTCATTTCTGATATTATTAATTTGAGTCTTTTCTTTTTTTTCACAGTTAACCTGGGTAGAAGCTAGCTGATTTTATTGTTCATCAAAAAACAAGCTTTTGATTTTGTTGATTTTCTTTGTTAATTTCCTACTTTCAATTTCATTTATTTTTGCTGTAATCCTTATTATTTATTTTCCTCTGTTTAGTTAGGTTTAGTTTTCTTTTATTAGTTTTTAAGATGAAAACTTAGATGATTGACTTTAGATCTTTTTCTTTTCTAAAGTATGCTTTCAATACTATATATTTTCCTGTAAGCTTCGCTTTCGCTGCATCCCACAAGTTTTGATAAATTGTGTTTTTATTTTTCTTTAGTTCAAAACATTTTAAAATTTCCCTTGAGATTTCTTCTTTGGTCCATGTGCTATTTAGACCTTTGTTGTTTTATCTACATGTTTTGGGAAATCTTTCATCTATCTTTCTGTTATTGACTTCTGGTTTAATTCCATTGTGATCTGAAAGCAGACATCATATGATTTCTTTTCTTCTAAATTTGTTAATGTGAGTTTTATGTTAATTACTAATTTAAATAACTTGCCAATCTTCATTTGGAAGTTTATGTAAGCATTCAGATTATCTGCAAATAGAAATGCTTTTATTTATTCTGTTGAAATCTTTATAACTTTCAGTGTATTGCTTTATTTTACTGGATTGAACTTCCAGTACAAGGTTGAAGAGAAGTAGTTAGTGTTGCATCCTTATCTCTTTCTTAAATCCATGGGAAAGTTTTTAAATATTTTTCCATTAAGAATGGTTACTTGTAGGGGCACTTGGCTGGCTCAGTCAGCTGAGCAACCAACTCTTGGTTTCGGCTCAGGACATGATCTCAGGTAGTGAGATTGAGCCCCATATTGGGGCTCCTCACTCAGCATGGGGTCTGCTTCTCTCTCTCCCTCTGCATCTCTCCCTGCCCATGCTCTCTCTCTCTGTATCTCTCTGTCTCAAATGAATAAATAAAATCTTTAAAAAAAAAAGAAAAAGTTGTTAAATTACATCAAAATAAAAAATAAAAAGTTTCTGCAAAGAAAATAATCAACAAAACTAAAAGGCAAACTATGGAATGAGACAAGATATTTTGCAAGTGACATATTCAATTAAGAGTTAGTATCCAAAATATATAAAGAACTTATAAATCTCAACACCCAAAAAACAAAATAATCCAATTAAAAATGGGCAGAAGACATGAACAGACATTTCTCCAAAGAAGACATACATGTGGCCAACACACACCTGAAAAGATGCTCATTATCACTTATCAGGGAAAATTTAAATCAAAACTACAATGAGATATGCCCTCAACAGCTGCCAGAATGGTTAAAATCAACAACACAAGAAACAACAGGTGTTGGTGAGGATGTGGAGAAAAGGGAATATTCATGCATTGTTGGTGGGAATGCAAACTGATGCAGCCACTTCAGAAAACAGTATGGAGGTTCTTCAAAAATTTAAAAATAGAACTATCTTATGATCCAGCAATCACACTCCTGGGTATTTACCTGAAGAATACGAAAACATTAATTCAAAGGGTACATGCACCCTTATGTTTACAGCAGCATTATTTACAATAACCAAGATATGGAAGTAGCCCTTGTGAACCATCGATAGATGAATGGATAAAAAAGATGTGATACATATACACAATGGAATATAAGTCAGCATGACAAAGAATGAAATCTTACCATTTGTAATGAGGTGGATGGAGCTAGAGAGTATAATGTTAAGTGAAATCAGTCAGAGAAAGACAAATACCATATGATTTCACTCATATGTAGAATTTAAGAAACAAAACAAACAAGCAAAGGGGAAAAAAGAGAGAGAGAGAGAGAAATCAAGAAACATACTCTTGATTATAGAGAACAAACTGATGATTATCAGAGGGGAGGGAGGTGGGGGATGGGTTAAATAAGTGATGAGGATTAAGAAGTGCACTTGTGATAAGCATGGGGGGATACATAGAAGTGTTGAATCACCATATTGTACACCTGAACTTATATAACAATGTATGTTAACTAATTGGAATTAAAATTGAAAAAAAAGAAAAAGGTATTAAAGGTTTTACCTTCTATAGGTACTTGGCATCAAATGACTGTAGGTGATAATTTGTTTTATCTTCACATACCATAGATCACCAGCATCCCATTTATGACTGGTGTTTGGATCAATGCCTTTAAAGTGAATCATGTAGACAATAAATACCGTATCTCATCCTTAAGGTTTTGTTCCTTTAGACCCACTTTTGGTACCCAAAACTGATTCACTCTGGGTGCCTTCAGGAAAATGGACACTGAAAAATGTTACAAGAATAGGACTTTAATATGGGAATTAGGAATAACATCACTGTGGAAGTAGTTGAGGAGTGATGGTCTGGAAAGCTGTGTAGCTGGAGGAGAAATAGTCACTAATGATTTTGGCTTAAAGCACTAATGAGTTTGTAGAACCAAAGATTAAAGGAAAGTCTAAAAATACATCTAGCTGCCAAGACTACCAAAGGCAAACTCATTAAAAGGCCTGTGAAGTTCCTATGCCCTCGGTCTCCCAGGATAAAAGTTTCTGCTTTACTTCCACCTTCAAAATCTCATGTGGGTTCTTTTCAGCATCTAACTCAGAGCCATACAGTGATAGTGGTACCTAGTTGACAATAAGCAATCAAACACACATATTGTTAATTATATATTCTGTTTTATTCTTTTAATTGCTTCCTTAGAAATTAAAACCTGTGTCCTAGATTATAACAGTCTAATATAAATTAGCATTTTTATTACCCCCAGATAATGCTAGGATTTTGTTATATTTCACTTACCCAAAAGTGATACAGGTGACTTAACACAAGTAAAATCACACTGGTAGCCCTATGAAGGATGATGTATCATAGGCTGGAGTTGAAAGGAATATCAGTGACCTGTCAAATCCTGAACTGCTGTCATTTAACCTAACATGCAATTTGTCTTTCAACTTGTTGCATAATAGATATGCAATTCTGGTTATGATCAAAATCTTACATCACAATCTTGTCTTTCCCCATTGATCTCAAAATACAGAGGCATATTATTTCATCTGGCCCTTAATATATTGTGTTTGTCTCATTTCCACTTTTAGCATTTAGGAGTACTCAGGATTCCTGCCCAGATGATTGGATTAGTTTCCAAAACAAATGCTATTATTTCTCTAAAGAAGAAGGGGATTGGAATTCAAGTAGACACAACTGTGTCACTCAACGTGCTGACCTAACTATGATTGACACTGAGGAAGAAATGGTAATTTGATACGCAATTCTTATGCAATTTCTTAAGTAGGGGCATTGGGAATATTCAAATGGTAATATGATTTTTAAAATTTTTTCACACGTCTGTCTATGCAGAAGATTTTTAGAACATGCCATGTGAGATGCGGTTGAAAAACTTGGTGATGTTTGGTTTGAATAGTGTAAGACTTATATCAAGTAGTAGACTTGATAGCTATCTTTGTATTTTAAGGAATATAAATAGAGGAACTTGATAATATTTGGAATCCTTTTAAAAGTCAGTACTCCATAAAGACAACTGTTTTAGGAAGGATGGGATTCTCCAGTCTACCCTCTTTGAGGAAACTTCTTCTGACTTAGTCCTGCTTTGCTCTCTCTGAGGTCCCGTAGCAGCTTCCATCAGAGCACTCACTACCAGTAATTGAGTAGGTATGTTACTGAAAGTCTTAGACTGAAGCATGAGCTTCCACTGAAGACACACTATGTTTTATTTGAAGTTGCCACATTTGCTATACCATAAAGGCAAGTACAAATTAAAAGCTTAATGGCCCTTTTTAAAATAAATATTGATTTACATGGCAAAAATCTTCTATGAGCAAAGGAAATCTCCTAGAACTTTAACAAAGGATTGTGAAACTACATACTTCTGCACTTGTGAAATCTGTTCTTTCCCTGAACCACTTATGTGATAAGCATACATTTTTACTCTTGTTTAGTCTGTTTAAAAGTTAAGGGTCAAGATATGATTTCACTCATATGTGGACTCTAAAAAAACCAAATGAATAAACAAACAAAAAGCAGAATTAGACCTAGAAATACAGAGAACAAACTGATGGTTGCCAGAGGGAAAGCGGTGATGGCATGGGCAAAATGGGTGAAGGGGTGTGGGAGGTACAGGCTTCCAGTTATGGAAAGAATAAGTCACAGGAATAAAAGGCACAGCATAGGGAATATAGTCAATGATATTGTAATAGCTTTGTTTAGTGACAGATGGTAACTACACTTGTGATGAGTATACCACAATGCATAAATTTGTTGAATCACTATGTTGTACACCTGAAACTAATGTAATACTGTACATCATCTATACTCAAATAAAAAAATTAGGTAAGGGGTCAATATAAGAGGTAAGGTAACTTGAATAATTTGCAGTTAAGTGTTTAAAATGTTAAGCAGCACAGCACGGCATTTAAAATTGTTAAAAGAGAATTCTCTTAATTCTGTGGTCAATAAAATACATTTATGTAATCTGCGTGAAGATTGATTCAAATTTAAATGGATGTGAACCAGACAGGGAAAATTTATAGTGCAAGAAAACTCAACTATTTTGGTTGCAACAAAAGGTATAGAAATCCAAATAAAACAAAAAACTAGGTATGTGAACAGTAGACACAGCAAATCAACAAGGAAGATGCAGACTCGAGTTAATAGGAAGATTTGTATGTAGTCAGTAGTTTCACTGCTGAATTTTGCAAGACTTTTGCAATGAACATTCTGAGAAATTCTTAAATTGTCTTTTATAGTTCCTCTTGCGGGAAAAATGTCTAAATTTGCAACAAGATGGAAAAATAATGAGTGCTAGTAAAATTTTTGAGAGGTAAAGAATTAACAAGGCAAAATATTTTAAAAATCTTCACTTATAGGAATCTTGTCAGCAAAGGCTGACAAAAATAGTGAATATCATAGAACACAAAGATCAAAGCATACCAAAATAATTAGTTTTGAACTTAAGAGAAGTCATTAAACATATCAGCTAAGAATGATTGTACTCTTTGAATCAAGAAAAGAGACTTTGATCCTACAATTTCCTGATATATTTTGGAAGTTATAGATGCCTATATTTACTACATAATCTGGGCAAAATTTAAGTGACAAGCAAAAGGAGGTAAAGCTATCTGTGAAGGAGTGATAAAAATAATATATAGAAGAATTTTAAAGGACTGTTTACTTAAAACAGCTTAATTATGTTTACTTAAATTACAAAATGTTTTCCTTAGTTAAAATGAGATATAGCTTGTTTCATGAAATAGTTTTCATATTTATTTCCACTTATGTAAAGTTATTTTGCATCTTTAACAAGAAGCCACATGGGTATTCTTTTAGTGAGCAAATAATAATTAACGTTTTTCTTAGGACAGGCTTTAGGAAACTTACGTCCCTGTTCCCTGTCACTAAGACCACAACTACTGAAACTCACCCAATTTTCCCAGTTATCCAATAACATATATACTGTTGGTTGTCAATACATTTATCCTTTCTCACATTTTTTCTGCCTTCAAGCAAGCTCTTTCCTAAGGCTAGAATATAAATTGTCCTCTTCTTTCTTGTCATCTGTATTTATTATGGAATATTCTATTCTTCCCCTCCAGATACACCTCTTAGAGCACATCCTATATGCAAGTGCCTTATAAAGATTCAGATACTTCTGTCTTGTAAACTAAAATTTCACTTTGGATTTATTACAGTCATATTCTTCTCCTTATCCAAGAGGATATTTTCTAACTCTATGTTTACATAAGTTTCTTCACTATAAATGAAACCCTATGAATCCAGGGACAGTGTTTGATTAATCTTTTCTTTTATAAACCCGAAGCTTAGCTCGATGAGTTAAATTTTTTTCCAAATAAATCTATGAAATGCTGCAGAAAATGGTATATTAAAATGTCAAAGTTATTATTAGTGTCACTGTTATAGACAGGAATGGACCATAATGTTGTGAACTATATTCCTCACATTTATCATAAAATTGAAACATGGAGTGATAGAATGTCAAGTTTGTGGTTTCCCAGATATTTAGTAGCATAATAGACTCAATGACTTTCTGTATATAACTGTATAGTTAAAAAGGCTCCAAGGCAGCAAGAAATTTCAACACTGAATGAATAAGGAGAGAAGGACAAATATGAAGATAAAATTATATTTTTCTCCTGAATGATCTCTTTAGAAGTAGAAATTTGGGGGCAGAAAAATAAAATTTGAGAATTAAATTCTAAAGGAATTGGATATATGGAGGGTGTGTGTCTGTGTGCGTGCCCATGTGATCCTTTTGGGAGAGAATTTGAAGTAAAATATAACGTTAAAATCAGCATACTAGTATTTACTGGGAAGTGGAAAAACATTATTATAAGTATCTGATGATTAGAAAGGCTGTGTAATAAGTCAGTTGAAAACTCTGGCTTTCCGGGAGTTTACAGTATTAAAATCCTGGAGGAATAGATTTGCATATTGAATATCTATCAATTTGGAATCAAAAAGTGTCTTAAAGAAAACTTATTTCACATCTTTGTTTACAAGTAAGAAAACTAAGGGTCAGAGGGTAAAATGCTTTTTCAAAATCCCGTTGCTATTTTCTGGTGAAGCAGGAGTTGAGCATTTGTTGCCTTGCTCCTCACAACCTGCAAAGCAAGGGGGACACAATAGGTTGTAGTAAAAACTAAAAAATATATAAAATTCATTTCATCTCTAAAGGCATTTCTTAAGCGACACAAATGCACTTCTGATCATTGGATTGGGCTGGAGATGACAGAAAATCAAGCAGGACGATGGGTAAATGGAACCATATTTAACAAATGGTGAGTTTCTTTCTTTGGGGGATTATTAAATTTAGATAGCACAGCCTTCTCCAGAACCTTGGCATTAGCTGCATTTCTCTAGAGCCCAAGGTTTGGGTGTGTGTTGGAAAAATGAGATAGGGAAAACAGTATCATGTATTGAGATTAGTTCCAAGAATCAACCAGGGAGGTTGGAAATCAGGATAGAAGAGGGAAGATCTTAGTTGGTTATTTTGAAAATAAAGACCGGTGATTCATAAACACAGACCAAAAAAAAAAAAAAAATCCAAAAAATATTTGCCTGATTTTAACCTATATTTTCCAATTTATATCTATTCTTCAAACTTCATGCTACCTGTTTGTTTACATCTTTTACAGTTCAAGTTAAACTTGTTCATTTTAACCTGATTTTATCTGGCCTTCATATCTTCCACTTTGCAACATTTACTGGACAAATGACCTCCAAATAACCACCCTAAATGGTGACTGCCAGCCACTTTGCCACTTAGTTTATAATAGAATTTCTCAACAGCAACACAACTGACATTTTGGGCTGAATAATTCTTTGTTGTGGGGAGGGGGTGCTGTCTTGTGCATTTTAGGATGTTAGCAGCATCTCTGGCTTCTACCTATTAGGCAGTCCTCCCCCCCACCTCCACTTATGACAACCCAAAATGTCTCCAGGTGTTGCCAAGTGTGTGTTGGGGGTTGGGGTGGGGAACACAAAGCAAAATCGTGTTGTGTTAAGAACTATTGGTTTATATAAACTGGTAGTTCCACTGATTACACATAACTATCTTAATGTCAGTTTAATAGGTATAAATTCTTGGAAGAGGAACTTTTATAGTCTAATTTGGTAGATATCTTCCCCTTAGCAAGAGCGGACTCTGCCACAGCACACTTTTTCAGGACTCTGGACAGATATTTTTTAAAATGGGGTCATTGGGCAAATGAGAAATCACAGGATTTTTTTGGTACATGGTGTTTAATCCCTTTATCATAGGTTTTCTGTGAGAGGAAATGAAAAATGTGCTTACCTCGATGATGATGGTGCAGCAACCGCTAGATGCTACACAGAAAGAAAATGGATTTGCAGGAGGAAAATGCACTAACTTAATGTTTCTATACTGGAATTGCAACATGGGTACCATGATTTTTATAATTCTTTTTTTCTTTCCCTCTGTATAAGTTAATTTTCAACACTTCACTGCTTTAATGTTCTAGCCTGATAATACATCTTGATAATTGTCAAAATAATTTCCTTCAACTTATTTTTCTACTTTTCAAGCCTTGGATCTTTTTTATATCAATGTTAGAAGATTCCTGTAATTAATTTCACAGGATCTATAAATCAGTTTGGAAAATGTTGTATTTATAATATTTCTTATTCATTTATAATATATATCTTATGTTGGTGTTTGTCTTCTTGTATGATTTATAGTTTTTCTAACCAGTCACTTCATGTTATTTATTATATGTGTCCTTATTAAATGTATCTGATGTTTATGCTGTTGCAATGATGTAATTTTATTATTTTTTATAATAGTTACTTTTATATATGGAAATGTAATTCTTTGTGTTATTCTTCTGTTCAACATACATTCTGAAAGCTCATAATTCTAATAATTTGTGGATTCTTTTAAATATTGTAAAACATAGCACCCAATAATGTTTTATTTTTTCTTAGAACTATTACTTAATTTTTGTCTAATTAAAATGTGTAGAACTGCCAAGACAATATTGGCAGTGAACATTATTGTTTCACATTCTAAAGAAAATGTTTCTAACATTTTCTTTTTTTTAAGATTTTATTTATTTAGGGCGCCTGGGTGGCTCAGTTGGTTAAGTGACTGCCTTAGGCTCAGGTCATGATCCCGGAGTCCCGGGATCGAGTCCCGCAACGGGCTCCCTGCTCAGCGGGGAGTCTGCTTCTCCCTCTGACCCTCCTCCGTCTCATGCTCTCTGTCTCTCATTCTCTCTCTCAAATAAATAAAAATCTTTAAAAACAAAAAAAAATCTATCACTATAAAAAAAGATTTTATTTATTTATTTGAGAGAGAGAGAGACAACAATAAGGAGAAAGGGAGGAGCACGCTCCCCACCGAGCAGGGAGCTTGACATGGGGCTTGATCCCAGGACGCTGGGATTATGACCTGAGCCAAAGGCAGATGCCCAACTGACTGAGCCACCCAGGCACTCCACTTCTAATATTTCAACATTATCAGTCTTTTATTTCATTTTTATGCACTTTTTTTAAGTTAAGGCAGTTCTTTTCTGTTCCTGTTTCCTAAAAAAAATTTTTCAGTAGAAAGGGACTTTGAATTTTCTTATATGTTTTTGTTTCCTTCATCTATTTGGATGTTCTTCCTTAATCTTTCAATGTGGTAAATGACACAAGTTTTCTAATATTAAATAACTATTTTGAATTCCTAGATCAAATTCAACTTGGCTATCATATTTATTCTAAGTTGATTTATTGTGATATTTATTTTTTAATATTCCTATGCCTAAATTCATGAATGTGATTGCCCTAAAATTTTCTCTGGGGGGATTGTTGGGATTATTGTTTCAATAATTTAATGAAGACATGGTTGGAAGATGTGTTGTTTTACATTTATGGTATAAAATTGTGAATGGTAAGTTTAATGTGTCTAAAAAATTAATTATTGTTCATATTTTGTGCATATTTTAGATTAGATTCAGATTTGTGATCATCAGTGTACCCCAGCACCAACCTTTGAGAGTCACGGGAAAAGAATATTTATGGAGTATGATATAAGGATGTAATCAGAATGAAGTAAATCGTGCTAGGCAAATGCAAACTCAAGGAGATCCATGTTGTTTCAGTAAAACCAAATTTCTAAGAGCCATGATAGTGTGGGTAATAACAGCATTGCTACCTTTTTCTTCTTTTTTTTAAGATTTTTTTTTTTTTTGAGAGAGAGATGGAGGGAGACAGCTCACAGGCACGTATGAATGTGGGGAAGGGCAGAAGGTGAAAGAAGTAAATTCTCTGCTGAGCAGGGAGCCAGATGTTGGGATTGATCCCATGACCTTGGGATCATGACCTGAGCTGAAGGCAGACGCTTAACTGACTGAGCCACCCAGGCACCCCTCCCTTTTTTTTTAAAGAATTTTTTTTTCATTGCTACCTTTTTCTCTCCAGAAATGAAACTAGCCAGGAAAGACACACTTACCAATAAAAAAGGCAGAGATGGTCCTTGGACCTGAGGAGGAAGAAGTGATGTGTGGACACTATGAAAAACCTGCTTACACACTCACTGGACAATAAGCAAATGCATACTCAATCACTTCTATCCACAATTCTGAAATTTTACAGATAAATCATAACATCTCTCATGGGCTCATGAATTTCGTAATATATTTTAATCAAACTGTTTGTTTAAACAAAAGTTCTGCCAAAAAAAAAAAAATGTTTCCCAGGATCTGTCAGACCTAGTGGCAGGCCTTTATAAGACCAAATATTTATCAGTCAATAATTACACAGGTTCATTTTAGTTGAAGATAATAATAATTTTGTTCAGTTATTTAAGTTATTTATGCATATTTAATATGAAAAACAATAAATTCTGTTCCATATGGTAGTAGCAATATAAACTTTAGTCATGTGTAGTAGGTTTAATAAAATTCCTCCTCTTCTCTGTTATGGGTTTAATTATGTCCCCAAGTTGAAGTCCTAACCCTCAGCACCTCAGAATGTGAACTTATTTAGAAATAGAGTCATGTAACAGATGTAATAGATAAATGTAATAGATACAATGAAATCTTTAGGATGGGTCGAAATGTCTTTAAGACTGGTGTCCTTATAAGATGGTAAAATTTGGATTTAGTGACAAATGCTCACAAAGGGAAGACTATGTGAAGACACAGAGAAAAAGCAGCCATGTGATTGAAGTGATGTATCTATAAGCCAAGGAACGCCAAGGATTACCAGTTCTGATGAGAAGCCAGAAGGCTCAAGAGAGGATTCTCCTCTAGAGCACTCTGAGAGAGCATGACCCAGCAGACACCTTGATCTTGGACTTCTAGTCTCGAGAACTGTGAGACAATAAAATTCCGTTGTTTTAAGCCACTCAGTTTGTGATCTTTTGTTATGGCGGCCATAGCAGTCCAATACGTTGTATTATCAAGATCAGCTTATTTCCATTTCTATGTTTCATCTTTCTCAGATAGCAGCCTGAGCTAGAGTGTCCCTTCCTTGTTTCAGGGCCCTTATTTAAATGAAAAAAAATTGGTCCTTCCAGAATCTCAGTCTAGTCACATCTCATTTTATCTACCACTCTGAAAAATACACAAAAGCAACTCTCACCAAATCACGCCAGTCTGTATGTCCATACCCAATGAACATGCTTCAGTTAACATCTCTCAGGTCATCTCAAGCAGAATTTAACATTTCTTTTCCATTCCTTCCTTCTTTAAATACTGTCTTCCAAGAATTCTATGACACCATATTCCCCTGAGATTCCTCCTTGCTTCCTGACTTCTCTGCTTTTTCTGATTTCAGTACACGCTCTCTGTTACTGCCATATTTGTTAGTCTTCCTATAGTTTTAGGCCTTTTCTCTTTTCTCTTCCCATTCCTTCTTAGGGAATCTCCTTTACACATTTAGGATCAACATCCTCTAAAGGATCTTAAATTTACACATTCAACAGTAATACTTTCTCTAAATTCCAGATTACCTAACTATCTACTCCACTTCAACATCTCAATTATACTTTTTTTTCTTCCAAATTTTTATTTAAATTCCAGTTAGTTAATATATAGTGTAATATCGGTTTCAGGAGTAGGACTTAGTGATTCATCACTTACATATAACACTCAGTGCTCATCATAACAATGCCCTCCTTAATACCCATCCCCCAGTTTAGCCCATCCCCTACCTCCCTCCCTCATCAACCCTATTTGTTCTCTATAGTTAAGAGTCTCTTGTGGTTTGCCTCTGAATATGTCTACAATTTATAATCTTTCCCTCAAAATATGTCTCTTCTCAGCACACTAAATGGAACCACCATCCAACAAAGTGCATAAAAACAGAAAACTGGGGGCACTTGGATGGCACAGTAGGTTAAGTGGCTGCCTTCAGCTCAGGTCATGATCTTGGGGTCCTGGGACAGAGCCCTGCATTGGGCTCCCTGCTCAGCAGGGAATCTGCTTTTCTCTCTCCCTTTTGCTCTGCCTCTCCCCCTGCTTGTGCACCCTCTCTCTCTCTCTCTGTCAAATAAATAAATAAAATGTTTTTTTAAAGATTTTTTAAAAATTTATTCATTTTTCAGAGAAAGAGAGCACAAGCAAGGGGAGAGGCAGGCAGAGAGAGAAGCAGGCTCCCCACTGAGCAAGGAACCCGATGCGGGACTTGATCCCAGGATCCTGGGATCATGACCTGAGCCAAAAGCAGATGCTTAACTGACTGAGCTATCCAGGCATCCCATAAATAAATAAAATCTCAAAACAAACAAACAAACAACAACAACAAAAAAACCCAGAAGCCTGGTATTGTCCTATTGGCTTTGTTCCTCATCTACCATTTTTAGTCAGTTTAGCAGGAATAAATAGAAATATTCAGCAGGTAACTCACTGGCAGAACTGTATGCTGGGTCTATATTGCAGCCAACATATTTGAGCTTAGGAATCTAGAGAGCAAGGAAAGGGGTGAACCTAAGAGATGAAAAACCTTGGAATAAAGTGATGGTTGAAGGAGTAAAAGGAAGAAATACATTCTCAAAACTGAAGCACAATTTAATATATTACACCTCTATTTTGACAAAGTCTGATTGTTACTATTCATAATAAACCCTATTCATGCTTATATTTTAATTCACTTTATCTCTGAAGCTTGAATACTAGCCCATCATCTGTTGCCTAATAGTCCCTAAATTAGCTCATAACTCAAATACTTCATCTTCCTCTTCCCATACTGGGTATGTTTCCAGGGTAATGGTTCCAAAACTCAAAATTCACCAGGTTACTCTGCTAACTTGAGCCTTTTATTGGCTTTCAATTGCTGTTGAAGTGAAAGTGGAAATACGTGACATTTAAGACACCTTATTTTCCAGCCTATTTTGGCACCCAGTTTATCCTTTTTTTGGCCTCCAGTAGCACTGTTTTCACATTTTTTTTAAAAGCATAGCATGCTCACAAATCCAAAAGGTTTTTTATTTCACCTATTAGGGTTTTATCTAGGACTTCCTGAAAGAATCCCCCTTCTACCGAATTCTACTCACTTTACATCTCTCAGCTTATGTGTTGTATATTTGAAGATTCATAGCTGAATTAAGGGATGGTATCAGATCCCCCTACTTGTTAGTCTCATAAGTAACATACAGCTTTTCTCCACAGCACCTATCAAATTTTATTCAAGCATTATTTATTGAGCATCTGTGATGTGTCAGACATTGCTTTAAATATTCAAACAGGGAAAAACACTTGAACAGGAGCTTAAATTATTGATGAGGAGACAGAAAATAAAATATAACATTTTAAAAGGTGCAAAGAAAAGCAAATTATTTGGACCAAGAAAAAGTGTATTTTATTATTTGTCTGGTTAATTATTTTATTAGTATTTATGAATCAGACTAGAACATAAAGACCAGTTCAAACATTGGCGAAAATGGTTACTGGCATTCTGCTAAGGTTATTACCACAAAACAAATAAACAACACCACACACCGGCAAAGGATCATGGAGATCAAGGATACCAATGTCACCTCAAAGGGTAACTTTTACGACTAGGTCTGGAACAATTTGAGAGTCCAAGTAGAGTATACAAATTGAACAAAATATGAAAATGAGAGTCCACAAAGATACAAATACAAAAATGAATACATTGAGATTCTGATGAAGAGTGGGATATTTACAAAGTCTAAAAGTACCTTCTGTCAAAGCAAAAATTCCAACAAAATTTCCTTACACAGGAAAAGACTTCATTCAATGTTATGACAATAGGGACATAGGCGAGAACTCGGTATGAACTAAAATCTGCTGAAACAGAGGACCACAAGGTTTTGCAGAGCTGGGGTGAGGGAGGAGATCGTACACCATCTGTGTCTGCTAAACAGCTGTACCCAGAGGAAAATTAAACTTTTTCAGGTCTTCATGATAGGAGAGAGGTTTTTTTTTTAATTTTGTTATTGTTATGTTAATCACCATATATTACATCATTAGTTTTTGATGTAGTGTTCCATGATTCATTGTTTGTGCATAACACCCAGTGCTCCACGCAGAATGTGCCCTCTTTAATACCCATCACCAGGCTAACCCATCCCCCTACCCTCTAGAACCCTCAGTTTGTTTTTCAGAGTCCATTGTCTCTCATGGTTCATCTCCCCATCCGACTTACTCCCCTTCATTCTTCCCTTCATGATAGGAAAGAGTTTAACAACTTGGATCTAGATGCCCACTGAAGTTAGCCTCCTACCTTCCCACAGAAACTAAGCAATAGAGGTGCTACTTTTCTTGATTACATTTCAAAGGAATACCTCTCTGGTCCTTAAGAGAGACATTTCTGGGTTGAAAAGCCTTTAAAAAGCTTTTTGAAAGATTTGCATCTCAAAGAAGCAGAGACAGAATTTCCAATTACAAGTTTCCTCAAGTAAATGGTCTAAAAATGAGGTCAGGGGCTCATAGATAGGAAGAACAAAGCTTTTCTAAAATTTAGTTAAGCTGAAGGGAATGTTAAAACCATCTTGGTCACTGTCCACAAAATATTAATTAATTACAAAGGGAAAAGAGAAACTTTATAGTGAAGTCTGATAGACATCAGATTAAGCATGTGAACAAAGTCAATAGCATCAACAATGGAACAAATAAATGTGTGTGCCATCGGAAAGGATGCAGTGAGAACTTCTCACTGTTTCTGCCAAGGAGCAGTTGAATATAACCATGAGAAATAATCAGACAGATTCAAATTGAAGAACATTTTGCAGAATAACCGGGTTGTAGTATTCAGAAGTGTCAAGTTGTGAATAGCAAGGAAGGCTAAAGAACTCTTCTAGATTTAAGGAGATTAAAGAGACATAATAACTAAAAGCAGGAGATGATTCTGAGCTGGATCTTTTACTCTAGAGACAATTGGCAAACCTTAAAGAGAGTCTGAGAATTAGATGGTAGCACTGTGTCAATGCTAGTTTGTTAATTTTGATCATTTAATTGTGATTAAGGGATTTTTTTGTAGAAAATATACACAAAAGTATCCAATGATACTTGAAATTTTATAATAAAATGTATCAGTCTGACAAGTAATTCTCAAGAGGTTCAGGAAGAAGGAAAGTGCTTTTGCCCTGTACCTGTAATCTTGTAAATTTATGATAGTTTCTAAATTTAGATTAAAATTGTATGAAATCTAAAGAAAACAACATATTTAATGCTTTTGAGTCATAAAATCCAGTTTTAAGGTTTATATCAAAGAAATAACAGGTATTACTTTTTAAAAAGATATTCAGAACGTTTACTGCAGCATAGTTTACAGTAGAAAAAACTTGAGAACAAAGTTAATGCTCATCAACAAAGCAGTAAAAAAATGTATGAATCCATACTAAAGCTCAACTCAGAATTATATGAAATTTGCATAGGATATTGTTACAAATTAAACAAGCACAATACAGAAAAGCAGGTATAATTTGATCACATTTGTTGTAAAATGAAAAATGAATAAAAATCCTGAGTATGAATGCATGGACTCACAGTGGATTATATTACCAGATAAAATATTGAAAGGGAATATTTTAGATTGTTTACATGGTGTACTCTAAGGTTAGAACCAAGGTAGATGATGGAGGGAAAATGGAGAAGACATTTTGTTGTTTAATTGCAGTTCTATTTTTTAATTGTAGTTTTAAATTCTTACTCCTTAAGATTAATATTAGAACCTATTGGCAAAAGAACTTTGATCATTGATTATTGATTGATTGACAAATCCATTTGAAAACACTGCTGCAGGTTTCAGAATAAATTTTGTTTTCCTTGGTGGCTGCACAGCTATTTTCTTTAGCTGGTCCTTTTATGAAAAATCTGTAGAAGAAGGGATAAATTCATTGTTAATCATTGTTGCCAAAGACATTATGTCTTTTCAACTAATACCCTCCCTTAATTGAAAGGCCATTCAGATTTTAGGGCATTTTCAAAGCCCTTGATTCACTAAAAGTTACAATATCTCTGTAACTTAATCTTATTCTCTGTGATTTGCACAGAGTTCCCAGAGAGTCTGTTAGAAATGACAGAGCTAAGAGTAAATCTGTGTCCATATCTCTGTTCTAGTCTTCTTTCCATTTTTTTTATCTGGTGTAGTCTTTAAACAATAAATGCATAATGATTACTGTTTTCAAATCTTTTTGCTTTAAAAACAAAACCAAAATATCCATCATTATTCCAGTGAACATTAAATCAATTTTCATCCTTTCAAATTCCTTAGTATCGACAATTATTTCAGAGTTAATTTTGGTGGACTTAGAGGTGCTTTATGAAGATAAATTCTACAATAGACAGTAAATCAGACAGTGTTTTTGGACTCACGTCTTTGAATCTAATGGAGAACCATCCACCCAGGTCCATGTCCTCTTCAGAGATGTAAAGTTAAGCCCAATCCACACATAGTTTGTTTGTTTTAGGTTTTTCTGTATAAAAGCCTAAAAAGTGAGTAACGAGTAACTAAGTGAACAGAATATTTTAATAATGTAGACATACTAATTAAGATTTAGAATTTTATTGGACAATTAGCATCCTACATGAACATTCGTATACTAATCAATTCATAACTTAATTACACCCACTATGTATTTATTACATACATACACATACATATGTATCACTTGTAAATTGAATACAAATATTCAGCCCAGGACTAGCATGAGTCAAGTGAAGCACTGGCATTGAGCACAAAAAATAGGAGGGTGCCAAAAACTCGGTGATTGAGATAAATGATGATTTAAAGGAAGGGTGGGGGGGTGGAGCAAGAGGGCGGAGGAGTAGGAGACCTGGATTTC